GAAATATTTGGAGCACAAGTTAATTATATGTTTGTATGCAAACTTTACCGAAAAAATTCAAAAATCTGGAAAAATCTGAGGTTTATTAGTTTGGTTTGATTTATAAATTTAAAAATTTGACACAATGGTTTGGTTTGGTATTTGAAAAACCCGAACCAATCCGAGGTTGAAAAACCCAAAAAAATCCGAATTTTATTAGTTTGATTTGGTTTAAAATTTAAAAAATTTACACAAATGGTTTGGTTTGATATTTGAAAAACCCGAACCAACCCGGTTATGTACACCCCTAGGTGTAAATATGTGATCCAAGAACTATTTGACTCTATTTATTTTCTTTATGCCTCTATATTTCACACATAGAAGGCCATAATCTAGAGTTCAATGACTAGTATATCTTATAAAAATGAATCTCTCTATTTAAGTATTTATACCTATTTGAGTGCTTTTAAATCAAGAGCACAAGTCTAACATATAATTAAGATAGAAGTGCTGGATCAAAATGGTCCCATTAGTTAATTATAGTTGTTTAAAGTAATAATATTACATATTGAAGTTGTGTGAATAATTGCTGAAAAATTCTTGATATGGCCGATCCATCACCAGCAGATGAAGCAAACCTCATCAGGAACTTCGATGGTCTTGCAGTTCCACCTCTTGACCATACTTTTTACCCCCTACACATGACTATTACATATGAAGAAAACGTCGATTACTTTTCTATGAAATTTCGAAACATTGATTTCTCGATCGATGACATCATTTTTAATGCATCATTTGATGATATTTTTCCAAACCCTACCGATAATGATGCGTTTCAAATGCCTAATTACCTACCTGATTGTCTCGGGTTGTAGCCAGGTTTGGAGTCGGGTCAAATCGACCCAAATAGCTTTGGTCAACCTAGGAGTCAACTGATGGGGAGTTTTGACGATGCCTGTGGAACATTCAAGTCAACCTTAAGAGATTGTCTCGGGGAAGCTCTAGGCTCGAACTCGATCCAAATGGACCATAATCGCTTTGGTCAACCTGGGAATGAATTGATTGGGAATTTTAGCAATTCTGCTAGAAATGTTGAGTTGATGTCGGAGGAAATGATCACTTTTGCAGGAAATCAGGCCGCGGAAGGTGTGATGGTTATGGACATGTCATCGCCGGGGATATGTCATAGTTGGAGCAGTTTGGGAGTTTTGGATAAAGTGTCTCCGTCATTGCACCAGGTTTCTACTGATGTCTCCGAGTACTTGAAAGTATCATCTCCAAATTGTGGTTCCAATCTCACAAAAGGGCTGAATAATCTGTTAGATCCGAACAAATCGGTACATTCTTCTCCGATTTAGGAAGTAATTCAGTAAAAGGTAGAGTTGTAGAACAAAAACTCAATGCTAATATATGTAACTGTAGCTATTGTTGAAAAGGGGAAAAGGTAGTGAAGACTCAAATAATGTAACCATACCCCAAAAATCCACTATATTTTCTTTGAGAGACAATGTTAATAATTATGAGCACAAAAAGAAGATTGCTAGATTAATTAGGAATAGGGAAAGTGCTCACTTGTCAAGGCAAAGAAAAAAAAACATTTTGTTTAGGAGTTAGAGGATAAAGTAAGAATACTTCATTCAACATTTGAATGCAAAGATATAATATGAAATGGTGGAATATATGTTACTCTAAAGACACAGCTTGGAGGTACTGGCGTACCTCCTCAGATGTTGCCACCCCCCTGGGATGTATCCCAATCCTCCTCCACGGATTTCATAAGCACAACCTTATATGATGAAGCCATAAGGATCACAAGTGTCTTTGGTTCCCATTCCAAAGTTGAAACCACAGGCAGTAGTGCCAGTGCCAAAAAGTAGGAAGAAAGTGGAGAAAAAGAAGAGTGAGATGAAAACAAAAAAGGTTGCTAGTGTGAGCTTCATTGGTATGTTGTTCTTCATGCTGCTCTTTTGTGGTTTCGTTCCTTTATTGAATGTGAGATACGGAGGTATGAGGGAACCATTTATGAGTGGAGATTCTTGTGAGTGGATTTTTTGAAAAACATCATGGAAGAGTTTTGACTATTGACGGGCCTATGAATTGGACTGGTTATTCTGGGAAATATGGTGGAATAGATCATAGCTCACAATGTGGCTGGGGAGGTTAGGATGAAAGCAATCAGCAAAATACCAATAAGGCTGCATATGAGTTTGTTTACGTGGGCAATGGTACTGATCCTCTGGCAGCCTCCTTGTATGTTCTAAGGAATGATACACTTGTTAAGATTGACGAGAACTTGATAATTGAGTATGTATTGGAAAGTGAGAAAGCGATGGCATCTCATGGGGAAGTGCTTATAAGAAAAAAGGAGAGGCGGGAATTGCCAACTACATTAGTCATTTTTGAGTAAATCTTATAAATATGACTATTTATTTTCTCTATGCCTCTATATTTCACGCTTAGAAGGTCATAATATAAAGTTCGATGACTAGTATATCTTATAAAATGAATCTTTCTAGTTAAAGATGTACACCTATTTGAGTGCTTTTTAAATCAAGAGCACTAGTCTAACATGTAAGAAAGAAGTGTAGGATCATAATGGTCTCATATAGTTGTTCGTAGAGACAGAGTCAGGATTAGGAATTTGGGAGTTCTAAACTTTAGGATATAAGAGAAAAATATTGCAAAATATACTTCCTTTAAAAAAAAAAAACTTTTGTTGATATAATGGGGTCAGATGATTTCTTTTCAAAATATTTACAGAACCTTACATAGGGAGTTGGTGGAGAAGTACATACGGTCTCACCATTTTTAGAGTCCATTTTGGGTATTTAGGGGCCAATTTACAAGAATTAGTCGATTTTCTCAGTTTTTCGTGCATTAGCCCATGAATATTTTGGTGATATGACTTCCAGAAAATTTCTTCCTGAAACCCTTATGGAACCCTCTGTAGGGAGTTGGGGGAATAGTATTTACAGTCTCACCATTTTTAGAGTCCATTTTGGGCATTTAGGGGCCAATTTACAAGAATTAGGCGATTTACCAAATTTTTGTGTGTGTTAGCGCATAGATATTTGGTGATATGACTTTTGGATAATTTCTTTGTGAAATCATTACAGAACCCTCCGTAGGGAGTTGGGGGAGTAGTATGTAGAGTTTCATCATTTTTAGAGTCCATTTTGGGCATTTAGGGGCCAATTTACAAGAATTAGGCGATTTACCAAATTTTTGTGTGTGTTAGCGCATAGATATTTTGGTGATATGACTTTTGGATAATTTCTTTGTGAAATCATTACAGAACCCTCCGTAGGGAGTTGGGGGAGTAGTATGTAGAGTTTCATCATTTTTAGAGTCCATTTTGGGCATTTAGAGGTCATTTACTAGAATTAAGCGATTTTCTCAGTTTTGTGTGTGTGTTAGCCCATGAATATTTTGGTGATATGGATTCCAAATGATTTTCTTTGTGAAACCATTATGGAACCCTCCGTAGGGAGTTGGGGGGAGCAATATGTACATGTTTACCATATTTAGAGTCTATTTTTGGTATTTAGGGCCAATTTACAGGAATTAAGTGTTTTTCTCTATTTTTATTGTATGTTAACCCATGAAAATATTGGTGATATGGATTCTGGTTGATTTCCTTGAGAAACATTTACCGAACCCTCCGTAGAGAGTCGGGGGAGTAGTAAATGCAGTCTCACCATTTTTAGAGTCCATTTTGGGAATTTAGGAGGTAATTTAAAGGAATTAGGCAAAAAAAAAATCAATTTTTCGTATATGTTAAACCATGAATATT